GATTCTGTGATTCTGTGATCAGGTGTCACACAAGAGATCCCCGAGTGTCCAAGACCTCTGGTTTGGGCCAGCAGGTAGCCCTACAAATGACCTGAGTCCACCAGAAGACAGAGACCATGTGGGATAGATATCCTGATGCCTCTCAAATGACCTGAGATGCCTTCGCGTGAGCATCGCGCCCCAGATCTCCACCTCCTGTGATGAAAACACAAACCACAGAAACCTCATTTTCTGCCTCTGAGCTGAATCCCACCGCAGGGGCCTCACGGCGTACGCAGAGATGCCCTCGGCATCAGGGAACACCAGGCTTAAGAGTGCCTGGGACCAGCCATCTCCCTGCCTCCTACCAGGGTCAGTATCTCAGCCTTGTGCAAGAGCTGGGAGCGCTACCAGCAGGTCCCAGGCCCCCACTGCAATCCTCAGCCAAAAATAATACAAGATGGGAATGGCCCTGGTGGCTCAGGCTGAGGGTCTGTCTGGCCGAGCATCCTGTCTCCAGCAGAGGTCAGAAACAGACACCCAAGGGAGAGCATAAGAATAAAGTGAGGCTACAATGATATTTTCCTGAAATAATCTATTTTTTAGGTATAATCTACAATCTATTTTTATAATCTGTCTTTTGGCTGATTTGCCCCTGAGGAATTTCCTGAGCCAGAGACAAGATTTTTGTGTTGAATAGCCCTCAGTGGGTCTTTTTTTTCCACAAATCTATCCATCTCCTCTTATCAGCGTGACCCACCGCCGGGATAAACTTGTGACTTTCCTGAAGGCCGGGTTCCTCCCACTCCTCCTGCTGCTGTCTCACAGGCTCTGACAAAGACCATCCAGTGGGCCAGCTCCTAAATTCAAGGGCCAGAAGAACCCGAGGTGATGCCCAACGTTTACGTGAAGCCCCAGCACAGCTGGAAGCTTCTGCTATTTGTTATGACCCTCAGACCGGTCAATGACAAAACACATCCTTTTTTTTTTTGTCTTTCCCAAACTGGAATCTTCCAAGTGTGTTCCCGAGTAGGAAGAAACACAGGAGGGTGAGAAAGTCCTCCGTTGCTTCTTGGTCAGGCTCTCTGCATGGATGCATTTCTACATCTCCACTGATCTCCGTGAGTAACAGGAAGTGAGATTTATGATTTCTTCACCCCGTAACCTGCATTATACAACAGAGGACTTCAGCGGAGTCTCTGCCTTTGGAAATCCTTCAGCAATGAATTTCCCTTTCTGATGACAGCTGGCTTCACACCAACCTTCTGTGACCAAGAACACGAGGATTCTATAAAGAACAAGTTATCAAAACAGCACTAGGACCCTCATACTTCTCACTGACCTCTCTCAATTTTTTTTATTTGAAGTTTGCAAGGAAATTTATTTCCCTTCCTTTATCCTATTCCACACATTCCTCATCTCTCCCTGCAAGTGTCCTCCTATCACACTCAACCCACACAGAATTTTCACACTGTCCCGTGTCAGTGCGAGGTGTCCCCTGCCTCTCCTGACCCAAAGCATCCTGTGACCCAGAGGAACTTTATTATTGTAAGTTCAGGATGAGAGGAGGCTCTGGATCACTTTGTGAGGCTTATAGTTAACAGAAGTGTGATGTGCTTCTCCCTTCTCTCCTGAAGCTCTGCCACGCAGGAGACCCAGGAGGGAAGGGCTTTCCTGTTTGTGTGGGGTTTTCCTTTTTACATCCCCTCCCGGGAGAGAGAGCAGCAAAGACCAACCCAAACACCATTCCCCCCACCTCCCGGCCGGGAGAGGGTCCCTGCTGGGGCAGAGAGCGGCAGCGGCCCCGAGAGAAACCCCAAGGCAGAGACAAGGCCCCTCCATGGCTGCCACACCGCGGGACGGGGCGGGACGGGCCCGCTCGGCCCCGCTCCTCCCCGAA